TGATGCTGGTGTGAGAGTGTTCTAAAGAGAGTTTAGTGGATGGGTGGTGGTTGTTGAAGTTGCAGTGGAAATCTATGAGGGAGTTTAAGCCTTGGCCCCCTGGACCCCTCTGTTCCAGCACCCCTGTAGAGAGATCAAGGCACAAATTCTTAAAGGTAGTTAGGTGCCTAACTACCTTTGAGGATCTGGACCTCAGTGACTTACCCAAGGTCACCCAGGAAATGTGTGGCAGAGCAGAGAATTGGCTCCAGAGCTCCTGAGTTCCAATTCATGCCTGAACTGCAAGGTCATCCCTCTTTTTACCTTAAAAAAAAAAAAAGAAGACAAAAATCACTTGCTAGTCAGCAGCCACATCATAAACATACAATAAGCCACCAATGTACTTACTCTGTGGAAGATTGCCACAGTAGTCTGGGTGCTGTCTCAGCAGCTTTCTACCTCTCTGAGATCTGAAAAACACATAAGAATATGAATGGCCCTACTGGGTCAAATGTATGGCCCCTCTAGCCCAGTATCCTGTCTTCCAACAGTGGCCAGATGTTTCAGAGGGAGTGAACTGAACAGGGCACTTTACTGAGTGATCCATCCCTGTCATCCAGTCCCAACTTCTGGCAGTCAGAGGTTTAGAGACACCCAGAGCATAGGGTTGTGTCCATGACTGTCTTGGCTAATAGTCATTAATGGACCTATCCTCCATGAACCTGTCTAATTCATTTTTAACACAGTTCTATTTTTCGCCTTCACGACCTCCCCTGGCAATTAGTTCCACAGGCTGACTCTGTGTGTATGAAGAGGTACTTCCTCATGTTTATTTAAACCTGCTGCCTGTTAATTTCATTTGATGATCCCTAGCTCTTGTGTTATGTGAAGGGGTAAATAAGACATCCCTATTCACTTTCTTCACACCATTCATGATTTTATAGACCTCTATCATATCCCCTCTTAGTTATCTCTTTTCTAAGCTGAACAATCTCAGTCTTTTGAATTTCTCCTCATATGGAAGCAGCCCCATACTCCTAGTCATTTTGTTGCTCTTCTCTGTACCTATACTATTCTAATATATCTTTTTTGAGATAGGACGACCAGAACTGCACTCAGCATTCAAGAGGTGGATGTAGCATGGATTTATATAGTGGCATTATGATATTTACTGTCTTACTATCTATCCCTTTCCTAATGGTTCCTAACATTCTTTTAGCTTTTTTGACTGCCACTGCACATTGGGCAGATGTTTTCGGAGAGCTATCCATGATGATTCCAAGATCTTTCTTGAAAGGTAACTTTATTTGGTATGCATAGTTGGGATTATGTTTTCCATGGAAATTACTTTGCACTTACCAACATTAAATTTTTGTTTCTCAATCACCCAATTTAGTGAGATCCCTTATGACAGGTTTCAGAGTAGCAGCTGTGTTAGTCTGTATTCGCAAAAAGAAAAGGAGTACTTGTGGCACCTTAGAGACTAACCAATTTATTTGAGCATAAGCTTTTGTGAGCTACAGCTCACTTCGTTGGATGCATCCGATGAAGTGAGCTGTAGCTCACGAAAGCTTATGCTCAAATAAATTGGTTAGTCTCTAAGGTGCCACAAGTACTCCTTTTCTTTTTGAGATCCCTTAGTAACTCTTGGCAGCTTTGGACTTTGGACTTAACTATGTTGCATGATTTTGTATTGTCTGCAAATTTTGCCACCCTACTGTTCACCCCCTTTTCCAGATCATTTATGAATATATTGAACAGCAAAGACCCTATAACAGATCCTTGGCAGACCCTGCTTTTTCCTCTCTCCATTGTGAAAACTAACCATTTTCTCCTACCTTTTGTTTCCTATCTTTTTAACCATGAGAGGACCTTCCCTCTTATCCCATGACTGTTTACATTGCTTAAGACCCTCTGCAGTGGGACTTTTGTCAAATGCTCTCTGAAAGTCCAAGTACACTATATCCACTGGATCATCCTTGTCCACATGCTTGTTGACACCCTCAAATAATTCTAAAAATTGGTGAGGCACGATTTCCTTTTACAATAGCTGTATTGAGTCTTCCCCAAAGTATCATGTTTGTCTATGTGTCTGATAATTCTGTTCTGTATTATAGTTTCAATCAATTTGCCTGGTACTGAAGTTAGGCTTACTGGCCTGTAATTGCCAGGATCACCAAGGGAACCTTTTTTAAAAATTGGTGTTACTTTAGCTACCCTTCAGTCATCTGGTACAGAGGCTGATTTAAGCAATAAGTTACATACCACAATTAGGAGTTCTGCAATTTCATACTTGAGTTCCTTCAGAGCTCTTGAATGAATACCATCTGGTCCTGGTGACTTATTAGAGACAAGACAGATCAAGAGCTATTAGCTAAAAGTAAGACAATAATGATATATTCAACCCCCAAAAGCTCAAGAAAATTCATTCACCTCCACATGATGCTCAGCCAAACCAAACAGTTCAAGGGTACAAATCGATGTTATTTACTTGTTCCAAGGAATTTTGCCATGGATGTTGAGACAGGTGCAACAGTCCACAGGACCTACAACTTAAAAAGGGAATGGCTGTGTGTGGACCTGAAATAGGATGCCTAGTGTAGCTGCAATGCACCACTGCATCTTGAACTGGTGCAATCATGTTGGTGTCGGTTGTAATAATGTAAGTAGATGCAGCTAGTGAGGTCAGGGCCATCAGAACATAGCAGTAGGTGTGTGACACCAACTGTGGTATAAAAGAGAGACAGTTGTTCTGGAGCAAAAGGAATCACAAAAAATATGAGTTTCTAGTACATATTGGAGAAGCCATTTGAAGTGCACAACTTTATTGACCCTCCTAACTTATAGACAATGTTACCTATTGGCAATCTTTCTAACTTTGTCAACATATATACAGGTATATCTGTTTTGTAGAGCACTCTTGTATCATTTCTCATATACAGATGTTTGATGTGGAGAGAGAGAGAGTTGGGACAACAAATTTCAAGCTATTAAGGTAATATTCACTAGTTTGCTGTCAGTCGAATGAAATATTGTTGGTCACATTAACATGTTCAACGCAACTGAAAGCCAACTTCCCACCTCAGTGCTCTATTTAATATCAATTACTTTCCATTTCATTTATTTTTATGTTTCCTTTTGCATCACGGTTTGTTTGGATTTTTTTCCAGGACGTTTTAGTTTGGGACACTTCTATTTTTTTTCTTCTGCAGTGCCAACCCCCAGCATTCCCTCTGATGAAGCAAGGAAGGAAATAAGAAAAATGGGGGAAACCCACATATATTTACAACAGGTTTAACGTATGTACTATTTATTAAATATAGCCTTCGATAGCTAAACACAATCAGACTTAGAGTTGATTCCATTGGTCAGGAATCAAAATGTAATTACATTTGTTTTGAAGCATCCTTTGAAACAATATGAACATAAGACTGGCCCTACTGGGTCAGACCATGGGTCTATCTAGCTCAGTATCCTGTCTTCCAACAGTGGCCAATGCCAGGTGCCCCAGAGGGAATGAACCGAATAGGTAATCATCCTCTGTTGCTCATTCCCAGCTTCTGTATCTATCTGTATCTATCTCTATAGAGCATGTTATGATTTATTACGTATATTACAGTTGCAGCTAGCAGACATAATAGAGATTGGGGCCCCTTTGTGCGAAGCACTGTACAACACATGGGAAAGAGTCCTTGGCCCAAAGAGCTTACATTCTAAATACTGTACTCTTTTGTATTGAAACTAGTAGTTTAACTGAGCTTGTTGAACTTTTGTGGATCCATTTAAAACCAGACATTGCCATGATTTATGAAGAGGGACATGGGGCATGATCCTGCAGTATTTACTTAGTCAGAACCAAAATCCCATTGATTCATGAGCCCCTAATGTCAATGGAAGTATCCGTTCAAAATCAGTTTCTGAGGATCAGTCGATCCAATGATCAATTCCATTATAATTCGAGGAACTTAGCAGCAGGATAATGGATCCCTTCCCAAAGGACTGAGTTTGAAGGACAGGTGGATAGAGCTGGTGATATTTCATGGGCTTAGTTCTTTATTTTTACATTTGTTGTTGTTAATATCTGCAAACTGTAATCAGACAAGGAAAGAAATTACACATGATTTTGCATCTGGTGGGCTGAGACTCAGGGGGATGAGTGGCAGATACAGGATAAGATTGTGCTTTGCTCCTGATATATCCCTTCTCCAGGACAGCTGGGTGTATCACTTTTTAGGATATAGAGCGCCCCAGTTTGCCCTAGGATCGATAACTGTGATCACCAGACACTGAAACTTACAATGGGTGTAAGTACAATGCTTAACTTAGTAACGGTGCCAAGAACATATAATGATCCGTGGAAGAGAGGTTGCCTGGTCGTCCAAGCTGAGCTATGCCTTGACAGCCTTCCTGCAAGTGTACGTTGCAGAAGAGTGTGTACCACTTATAACCTTGGGCTGGCGCTACTGGTTTGGGTCACAGGAATGGCATGTTTCGAAGAGGGGGAAAAAATAGCATGGACTCTTCTGAAAATATTAACTTGTCTATTTGGAGAGTAACCGTTGCCTTTGAAACCTCGCTCTATACACCTATATTTAGCACCAGAGGAGGGAAGGAGAAGAGGTTTCCGTTTTAAGCTCCGCTGTTTGCCCTAAAATGCCCCCCCCCATCTGAACAGGGCAGATTCGCACAGAGAGGGGTGGCCGCTGCCCTTTGGAATTATTCCCCCAAATCCACCTTTGCTTTTCCACTTCATCCCGCGTTCACGAGCTGGTTTGCGATTTTTATTCCCCCCCCCCCCCCCAGGAGATGTTCCCCAGGCGGAGCCCAGGAGACTGGTTGGGATCGGATTTGGAGGGTGATGCACCGCGACAGCTAAAAGTTGGGTAGAGTTTCAGCAGCTACTATATATAAAGCAGGGGGACTTATGTCACTGCACTAATTAAATTCCATCTGGGTGGCTCCTCTGGGGTTTTTTGAGCCTATCACCCAACTCCAGCAGGCAGAGAGGCCAAGGGGAGAGCATGATGATGGACCTTTTTGAAACTAGCTCCTATTTCTTCTACTTGGACGGAGAACATGGAGCTCTACAGCAGCTGGAGATGGCAGAGGGGTCCCCTCTGTACCCGGGCAGCGATGGCACTTTGTCCCCCTGTCAGGACCAAATGCCCCCAGAGGCTGGGAGTGACAGCAGTGGAGAGGAGCATGTGCTGGCGCCCCCGGGCCTACAACCCCCTCATTGCCCCGGCCAGTGTTTGATCTGGGCTTGTAAGACCTGCAAGAGGAAATCGGCCCCCACCGACAGGAGGAAAGCAGCCACCCTGAGGGAGAGGAGGCGGCTGAAGAAGATCAATGAAGCCTTCGAGGCTCTGAAAAGGAGGACTGTGGCAAACCCCAACCAGCGGCTGCCCAAGGTGGAGATCCTGAGGAGTGCCATCAGCTACATAGAGAAGCTGCAGGATCTCCTGCACAGGCTGGATCAGCAGGAGAAAATGCAGGAGATTGGGGGAGACCCTTTTAGCTTCAGCCCCAAGCAGGGAAATGTAAGCACAGCGATTGTACTCAGTCCCCTCCTGCCCCCGAAAGTCAGCTGCGAAACCGCCTTCCGCTTTTTTTTCTCCCCCCTTCCCCTTCCTTAATGCAGTCTGTCAATCCAGAGCGCCGGGCAAGCTAACGAGCATTTAGCAGACTTCGCGAGGGAAGTACATAAGTCGTCGTTGAGAAGTCCAGCAGGCACCCAGGCTGCCCCGAGGAGCAGCGATCCTCTTTGCTAATACATGTTCTCTCTCTCTCTCTTTCTTTCCTCTGCGCTCTGCATGTTTACCTCAGATCCCAAGTTCAGATTTCCTGAGCACCTGCAGCTCCGACTGGCAAAATGTTTCTGATCATTCCAGAGTGCTAACAATCAACGCCAAAGAAGGTAAACTTCAGGATTCTCTTTACGTGTGGGCAATGTATTTATCCGTGTGTTTGTGTGTGAGAGAGAGAGAGAAAGAGATCTATTCCGTTAGTGGAAAAAAACCTCTTACTGACAGTGCTAAGAAAAATGAACACTGTTACTGTATAGTACGCTGCTATATAGCTATTGTAATTTTGCTCACAGGTGTTGTTTCCTTTTCCTAATATTTGAATATCGGTCCTTGTTAGATCTTCTCTTTCTTAGGGCTATGTTCCTTTCTGTCATTTCCTGCGGTCTATCGATCCCTGTTTAACAAAACTAAACCAAACACTTTATTTATCTTCATTATTTATTGAAGTATTTATTATCATTATTTATTTATTATTTATTGACTAGGAGCCTCCATCGTTGAATCTTCAGCTTCTAGCAGCCTTCGTTGTCTTTCTTCGATAGTGGACAGTATTTCTTCAGAAGATCCCAAACTTCCCAGCGTGGAAGAAGTGGTAGAGAAGTAGATCTGCCTTTGGCCTGGTAGTATTTTGAAAGCAGATAACAAGGAACTCACCCCACACCCTATAAATGAAATAATGAATTAATTTAATATTTTAGCAATCCCAGACAGGGGCCTTATTAAAGGCACTGGTAGGCAGATAAAATTGAATCTTCTTAAAAAGACATGTTCCTCAAATAATTGTACAATCTAGCTCTTCTTTCTTTCTTTCTTTCTTTCTTTCTTTCTTTCTTTCTTTCTTTCTTTCTTTCTTTCTTTCTTTCTATGTTGTATAGACCACTCCTTTTTTATTTAATATATTTACTTGTTTTCTGGTGATCCACTTTGTATAATACTCAACAAAAAGTTCATTCCTGTCTGAGTGAAGCTGTTGTTTGGATTTCCTGTTAGTATTATTTAAAGAGTTCTTAGGTTGTGTTTTTGTACATAATTTTAGTACTTTTTTATGTAAACCGGATCCATAGATATATATTTAAATTGTGGAATGTGATATTGTATATAAGAACGACCAGATTTCATGGGTATGTAAAATAAAGTTCTTTGTGTTACAAAGTTCCCAGCCCCGCGACCCATTGTTACTTTAAATTGTGGGCCCGATCCTGCTCCCATTAGAATGACATTTTGCCATTGACTTCAGCGAGATCAGGACCCAGTTCGGTCAATCCAAATAAAAAGTGTTTAAATTAAGAGGTTGCAAATATTTCCATCCAGGGCAGCGTCTCTTTAACTGTCTAAACAGTTTCTCTTCTACTCAGAACAGCACAGAATGCCTTAATGCAGTTCCTCTTATTTTGCATTAGAAGCCTTCCACAGCTGAGATTTGTGAGTGCTGCTGGGTGTAGGATTGTAGGCGGCCTACCTTCACCCAGGCCAGTGCCTCCCTTCGGTCTCCCTCGGTGGAAAACGCAGTGGCTCTACAGTCGTTTCATTATATCGCTGGGGAAAGCGCTTCCACTCGGCTCCTGACTGACTCGGGGCTATATTTACCCCGCATGTTTGACCCGCTGAGCTGCACATGCTTGGAGGAGCCTGGAAGGGGGAAGCCTGTTATACCAAGCAATGTCTGGGAGAGGGTCAGTCAGACTCCCGTGTTTAATTGACCAGCTCCCTGTCTCCTGAATTCTTCTCTGAATTTTTTTGGGGGCTGGAGGACTTGCACCCAACCCCTGTTTGCAGCAGAATTTATGGGCCTGGCTGGTTTCCTAATGGACAGCAAAGGGCTGTGACAGGAGCCAGCTCCCGTGGGGTCGAGGGGGCAGAGACTTCTTTCGAAGAAAGGTGACTCCTACCGCCTTCTCCTCCCCTGCAGGGGGAAGCTTAGGGCCCCGGGGGCGGAAAGAGTTAAGTGGCTGAAAGTGGGGCCGAGGAGGAAAAACAACACGTGAAGCCTTTCAGTCAGTGCTGTAGAAAAACAAACCCTAGAGTTGAGGGTGGAAAAGCAGGAGCTACTCCCAGTGAGGACTTTAGGGCTCGTAACAGATTTGTTTATAATCTCGGGAAGGGGCGACCACCAAGAAACTAAAGCGCTGAGTTTCTCCCCCCAGCTCCCCACCACTTCATGGTAACTAACAAGAGGAAACGTCCCATTGCCGAGCAGTTAAAATGTCCCTTTCTCACCCCCGCTCTAACTTGAATCCTTTAGATTTAAAAATACAGGGTCACTCCCATGTCCCTTCTTAGCCGGCATGGGGGGAGTAATGGATGGCGAAAGACAAAGCTCTCACTCAGCTGCAGCCAGAAACTCTCCATTACAAAACTATTTGCTATTCCTCCCTTCCTATGCTGGCCTCGTCGCCGGCTATAACAGCTCGCCAGTGCCCACGTTATTTGGGTGAGTGGTGGTGGTTTTTATTTTTTAAGTCTGCCACTTAAACAAGGGCATTTCCAGTGGTTGAATGCTGGGATCTGTGTGTCTCAAGCAATGGTAAATAATAGTATTTCCCCTCCCACACACACCCCCGTCACGTCTGAAATAAACTGTCTGCTGTATAGAAATAACAGCGGGCAGGACCTTTGGAAATCTACACTTCCAAAGAATATGGTTTTCCACACAAAAATCGATTGCTTTTGGTAAGAGAGGCTGACTGTTGTCCTGGCTCTCATGCAGAGCTTTTAGCTCGATCAGAAATATACAAAGAAGCTTTTAACCCCCGCCAGAAGCTGTTACTGTTCTTAATAATCTAGTTCAATGCCTAAGCATGTAAGAGGAGGGTCCCCATCTAGTACCACTCAAGCAAAACTCTCACTAGCTTTACTTTTCCTGAGTACAGAGGGTCGGATCTGGCCTTAAATTGTAACTCTCCTCAAAAGGAGAATTTCATGAGCATCTCATGCACACCTTGGGGGGGGGGGGGGGGAGCTCTTTTTCTTCCTCTCGCTAACGGGTAGGTTTTATTCACATCCTAATATTGACGTCAAGAGACGATATAGTCCGGCTGTGTTTGGACCCCGAAATCCGTGTCGTTTCCAGCAACGGGGTAACATGAGAAATTGTTTGGAATAAGTTTGAGTAAAGAAGGTTTTTCATTAAATAAAGAAAATATTTCCCAAAGAGACTCCCTGTGACCTCAATGGCTGTCGCTGACATGCAAGGCTTCCCAATGAAAGTCCTCAGTGTGTTTGCAATTAAAATGTTTTTGTTTGATATTAATAACGGTAATCTTTACCTAAGTCTAAAGCCAAAGCAAACAGGGCCCTGGAAGCACAAAATCAAGAGGTAATAACTCGGTAAAGATAAGCAGTTTGTGATTTAATCTAGCCTCTTTCCAGAGGGGGTTGGGCGCAAAGTTATCAGGTTTAAACTAATGAAAGTGATTTTCTGCCTACATTTTATTAAATGTGGAGCAAAGCTCCTGGAACATGACTCCCCAGATGTCCCTTTTAAGGCCTGGCTCCTGCAGCTTCACCTGTATTGCATAACTCATAGCTTGTGTATTTATTTATATTGAGAGTAGTGGAGAGGGGCCCATTCATTTCATGATCCAACAGCTATTGTAATATACTATGGAATGAAACAGTGCGATCATTCACTTGACGCACTATAGACAGTCACTGCAGTTGAGGTTCCCCTGGGGACTAGAATACCCTGGTGGAACAGATGAAATGTGGGTACAATGGTGGTGGGGAAAGATAAAAGTAGATGAGACTGGGTTTAAATCCCCACTAACTACTGACGGACAAATGTAATGTTCTCTTCCTAAGTGAAAGGATGAAACGAAATGAAATATATTCAGATTAACAGAGAGTGGGCCCGCTTCTCTTTGGGGTAAAACTGTCACCAACTTCAGGGGCAGAGGAGCAGAGCCGCGATTGGCTCCGGAGTTGTTGATGAAATCCGAGAAGACCACGGCACACTGGTGCGATGCAGCTATATGCAAAGGGAAAAGTTTGAACGAACATTCATAAGGAGCACTTGGTAGGATCGTTATGTGGCTGTGGGGACCCAGGCTAGCATTTCGCCAGAGCTTTGCCCTTTTATGGCAAGTGTGGCTGTTTTCACCGGGAGGAGAGAGAGAGAGCTGGAGGTGTGTGAGAGGGCTTGAATCACTCAGCCATGTGCTCGCTTGGGTTTCCCCTTCTGTAGCAGCGGGGACTAGCAACTTTTCCCATTCTCAAGGCTGCTAAAAACCCTCGTGTCCCTTTGATCTCTCTTGGGAGTCCCAGAATGCAAGCAGAGGCCAATGTCTTCTTCAGCTGGCTTTTATACAAATCCTTCCCGCAGCTCTGGCAGGTACTAATGTGTTTACTTAGGTGCGCGCAGTTCCCAGAGCTTGATGGAACCAAAAGTTTAGCACGTTGTTGGAATCCCCTTAATACAGGTCCAACTGGGAAAGAGTTTTTGTTCCTCGTTAGTTCTGGAGGCGGATTGCTGAAGGGGACCTCGGCTGGCACGGTTATTACTGACATGGCTATCTATCCAGGAGCTAAAACTTCCACCGGTTTAGCATTCCTAAAAGCAATGTGAACTAAAGGAATAACACGTCACAAAATGAATCTTGCACACCATTAGTGATATACACTGGGACAAATCCTTCTCCTGCAGTCTACGCTCAGGCAAAAGTTCCACCGACCCCAATTGGGATTTTGCCTGAATTTTCGAGAACAGCTAATTTCCTCTGTATTTTCTTGGCTGGGATTGTAATGTGTATTTTTAATAAAGGATGCCCCCAAAATAAAACCTCAATAAGTTTAGACTCAGCTGTTAAATATTTGTAGTCCTGACCCCTGAGTTTTCTCAGACAAATTCAATGGGAGTTTTGCTTAAAGTGAGGACTACAGTAACTGCCTCTTGGCTTCAGCTGTCGTTACAATTAATTATATATAAGATCTGGTGCTTTTAAAGTACAACATTAACACAGCCCCAACAAGGGAAATTGTGTTCTGCAATCAGTACCCCACACACATTGGCACACAATCTCTTCACTTCTCACGCCCCAGTAGTTAAACTTCGGGTCATATCTGTAAAGATGGTAGCAGTATGTGATAATATTTTCACACACTCATATTTACATTTCATTCCTACATGTTTTACGCACATGTTGTCAAATTGAACTATGTAACACTTCCCTTGTTTGGTTTGGTGTTTCATTGTTTTGTTCTGTTTTTCGAAGTAAAGTTAAGCCATTTCAGAAGAGGGGAGAAAGGTCATGAAATAAAATCTGATGTTCAGTAATTTTGCTCTTTAAAAAAAACCTATTCCTTCTTTTATAGTGGGAAAAAAATAATCGTAAACGAGTCAAAAATGTGTTATAATATTTAAAAGTGCGATTCCTACTGGCTGAGGGACGCCTTTGAAATGCTGTGTTCTTTTCTTCTGTGAAGATTTCTTGCTATTAAAAAAAAATCTCTCTCTATTCTTTTCTTTGTTTTAACAAGAGTTTAAAAGTTGTGTTGTCCCATTCTCGGCACTTCAATCCCCAGATCTGAGATTCAATCTCAAAACCCCACCACCCCTCCGACCCCCTCGCAGCAGCCTCATTAACCAACCTTGTAGTTTATGTTTTTTCCTGCTTCTTTTAGTTTTACTCGCCGGCTTTGCTGCACGTTTGCAAATTTGTTTTGAGATCGCTTTCCAAAAGGAAGCTGGCACCTCTAAGGGATACTAATTACAGATTTTCCTGAGTGACAGCATCTTTTTTCCAAAGATTCAGGAAGAAGAGAAACAACCTTCAGAATTCCCCTGAGACTTTTGGGAAGGGCCCATTTCCAAACAACCGCAAACAGTCTGAATAAGGCGCTACAGATTCGAATGCAAGGAGAGACACAGATAATATTGTGTAAGGCACGCCAGAGGGGGTTGGCATTGTTACTACAAAGTATCTTGTACACCCTTGGAGAGAAACCACCGAAAGCTGATCAGACCAGTGTAACTAGCACTTTAAAGACCAAGTTTATTTGTGCGCAAAGCATAAATCTGTAAGCAGGTCTATTTTAGCCAGCCTGAACATGCTACATTAAAATACCCGTGTGCTACACTCCAAGAAAGTCTTCAAGTTACGGCTGACCAGAACCGCCTTATCTGGCTGATGATTTCTTTCAGAACCACTGAGAACTGCAACGTTTCAATCGTGGTCAGCTGAATGTCAACCCGGACTTCAATGGAGAGAGCTGAAATTCAGAGCTTTCCTTTTCTGTAACTCTAGTCCTTTATCAGCCCTATGGCTTTAATACAGTATTCATTTCAAAGGGGGCTCGCTGCCCGTTTATGGCCCTAAATAAACTGGAACAGGACAGATGTAGCCTTTCCAACTGCTGAGATAATTATGTTCCAACTTTTTGAAAGGGTGTGGGCAGGGTTTTATTTATTCAACCTTCTATTTCTTCCTCTGATATATTTTAAAATCGGTTTTCACCTTAAAGCAATAATAACATCCCCCCAAGGGAAGTGAACAGTTATCGATCAGTTGTCAGATGGATTCTCCTCTGGGTGGCATGGAGCTTGGGGTACACGGTACAAAGAGAGACGTGGCTTTTCCGGCTACCTGCTCCAAACTGACGCCCAATCTCTCCTTTTCAAAAGTGTTCGCGGTTCACAGCCTGCATCAAGGCAGTAGTTTAATCACCTTGCTGACACAGAATCCCCTGCCAGGCTCCTTTACTTAAAGGGGGTTTGAATAAAATCACTAGACCAAGAAGTAAACTCACTGGCTATGTCAGCTGCTCCTTCAGCGCGGTTAGTCAAAAATATTTCTGCAGGGTACTGAGCATAACTGGCAGCGCATGGGAATTTCTGAGGGGTCGTTTGGAAACCGTTTTATTTAACCCAGATAACACATTTTCCTAACATATAAAAGCCAGCTGAATGTGGCCAAAGGGTTCCTGCGCTTTGGCAAAAGCCTGTTAAATGGCTTCATTACCACTTTAATGGCCCTTTAACAGTTTCAATGATCTGCTACTAGGTCTCTGGAAGGCTTTTGTCACCGACTTGTGTAAAGTTACTCGGGGATTGTGGGGTTAGAAATTTTACACTTCCAGGAGGGGTTTGTTGCACTGACAGCTGGGACGCATCTGTAACGGTACAAGTTTGTCTGAAGGCAGAAAATTAGCAAACCCAAAGCACGGCTCTTCTAGTGCCTCCAGCACCAGCAGGCCACAGGGAAGAGAGCAAAGGGTGGAAGAGAGATTTTCTTAGGCAAACAAATACAATTGTCTTCTGTGAGTACCGTTTCTGACATGATCAGGGAGCACTAAAACCTGACATTTACCTGAAATGCCCCCTTTCATTGTTAACTGACAATATTATTGTTACGCAGGAATGATTTTCTAGCTTTGTCTTTTTTAAAAAAAAACTATATAAATAATCGAACCAAAGGGCAAAACATCCCCCAGCAAAATGAAGAAAACGGATCACACCTATCCAAACAAAGTGAGCCCGTCTGGTTCGAAGTGTAGCATTGATTGTGAGAAAAATCAAACGATTAAAAGCGTTCACCATTTAATTCCCGTGAATATGACGAATAAGGTGAGACGGTATCCTATTTACTCCATGCTGTGTTGGAAGAGGCTTATATGCAGGAAATGTCACGTATTAGGGTTTCTTTCCCTCCGTTCCTGCTCTTTATTTTTCACACCAAATTGCGAATCTCCTACTTTATTCTAACTTTTGAGTCACTACTTCGAAAAAGTCTATGCAAGTTAAAATGTAATAAACTCATCAGACAGTCAAAAGGAGCGGTGCACAGCAAGCTGTCTCCTGGGGATTGGAGGGGGTTTGCCCAGACAGCCCCAGTAGGGGTTGTGGAGGGATATGCTAATAAAGACTAGCCTCTCTGGACCAGCCTCCCATAACAACATGTGTATATAAAGAGCCCCGTGCCCCAGAGAAAGGACACTTTGTCTCGCATCCATCCTTACTTAGGAACTTGCCCAAGAAAACTGCAGTGTGACTTGCTGAGCCTGGCTCGCTGCAGTCCAGACCAAGCATCGCTCTGTATTAGGGGCTGTAAAGATGGAGGTGATGGACAGTTGCCAGTTTTCTCCATCCGAGTTCTTCTATGACAGCTCCTGCATCTCTTCCCCTGAAGGCGAGTTCGGGGAGGATTTTGAACGGGGACTGGCTGCGTTTGGAGCCCACAAAACAGACGGCCCATGGTCTGACGAAGAGGAGCATGTCAGAGCCCCCACAGGGCATCATCAAGCCGGGCACTGCCTCATGTGGGCTTGCAAAGCCTGCAAGAGGAAGTCCACTACCATGGACCGGAGGAAGGCAGCGACCATGCGCGAGAGGAGGCGACTGAAGAAAGTGAACCAGGCTTTTGACACGCTGAAAAGGTGCACCACGGCCAACCCCAACCAAAGGCTCCCCAAAGTGGAGATCCTCAGAAACGCCATCCGGTACATCGAAAGCCTGCAGGAGCTCTTGAGAGAGCAGGTCGAAAACTACTACAGCTTGCCAGGACAGAGCTGCTCTGAACCCACCAGCCCAACTTCCAGCTACTCGGACGGGATGGTAAGAGGCGGACGTTTCGCTCACTCTTTAGGTTGTGAAGGTGCCGACACAGGCAGGTTACTCCGTGACTGCTTTGTGGTCTAAAGGCAGAAGAGTGAAAAGGGGATGCCTTTATTAAGATCCCACGGAAACACTAAGTGCGCTTAGGAAACGGTCCCTTTCCAGGATGTAATTCACACGGTGTTCTGCACGCAGACAGCCTTGCGGTGCTGTGGGGTGGGGGACTCCATATGTGCAAAGGGGGCAGCTTTGTTGCCCTGCAGGGGATGAAGCTAACTAGAAACCAAGCTCCTGGTTAGGGATCACAGCGTTCACCATTCAACGCTCGTCAATTCTCCTTCGTGGTTTGTAGCCGAGCTGTCACGAAACACCGCAGGGAAGGCGGAGAACTGAGACTAGGGAGTGAAGCCTTTGCTCCCCCCCCCCCCGACCCCCCAGTAACTTTACAGTCTTCATGACAAAACTAGAGGGCAAGAGGGGAACCCACCCAGCTGAAGCCTGGCCCAGAGGAGCTGTTGATGCGTTTTTTCCCGAGCGCGTTTGCTCCACCGGTGCCAGGTTGTAATGTGCTCTCGCTCTGGGAAAGTGTCCTCTTCCTGACTCGCTGCGCCTTCCTCCGGCTACCAAGCCATTCTGCATGGCTAACGCGGCGCCCATTGCGGGCGGGCTCGCCTTTTGCCACGCTGCCCCTCAGCCACAGAGCCGCTGGGACCTGAGCTCAAGTAAGCCGAGGTGCCGGGGAAGCGCGAAGGCGCGGTGGGGTTTTAGGGTGTCCCCCCCCCCGGCTCAGGGCGTTGGAAGTCAGCGGGCAAAGTCGCCCCCCCGGGTTCCGTGCGCTCATTTCTTGTCTCTTGCAGGCTGAATGCACCAGCCCGGCCTGGCCCCGGCGGAGCGGCAGTTTTGACGCTGTCTATTGCCCGGACCTTCACACCGGTAAGACTGAACACGCTTCCCGGGCCAGCTTAGTAGCGCAGCTGCGCCCTGGGTAAGGTGGCCTCGATGTAGCTCGAGAGGCAACATCTGCCATGAGTTTTCACACTCCCGAGCTCTGTGCCAGCCAGGGATATTTACAAGGGATGGTGTGTGTTGCGTGTCGGCGCCCGGACTCCCCAGGGCTGGGTGGGGCTATGTACCTGGGTTGGAAATTAAATCCTAGCTCATTAGTGAGTTAATCCACGTTTCTTGATGCATGTAAGTATTTACCGATTACTTTCGCCTTACTCTGTTCCCCAGACAAAAGCACTACCCTGTCCAGCTTGGACTGTTTATCCAGCATCGTGGATCGTATCTCCTCCCCCTCCGATCAAGCGGCGTTGCCGCTTGGGGACACCGCCTCCCTCCCTGCAAACGCCAGCCTAGAGTCCCAGCCGGGCACCCCTAGGACCCCTCCTCATTCCAGGCTCATCTATCACGTATTATGAGCGCTGAGACTTGAAACCAACTCCCTCCACTACTTTTATGTGGGGAGAAAGGCACTCACCCCAGGAACAGCCGCGCCTCTCGGCGAACGAGCTATGCACGTGGAATCCAGGCGGTTCAACCTGTGGATATAAAGGAGAAGCTTTTTAAACTGTACATTTGTGAATAATGTTGCCACGAGACGTATTTAACTAAAGCATTCTTGACACATTTTAGTACTTGTCTGACTTTTATGATATTGTTACCGGGCTAACTTTTTGGCGAGGGTAAACACTACTCAGTAAACAGAAGCGGCTTCCTGCAAAGTTTTTATAGCGATGCTGACATTATATTTTCATACTGGTATTTCTTAACTTTCTTGGGGCGAGGAGGCACTTTCATTCCACCTGAAACAGCAAAGCAAGGGAGAGCTCACTTGCAAACAATATTAAACACGTTCCTCTCATCAGATACAAATGTATGAAATACACAGACAACATTGTTGCCTACTGCTGTATATTTTGTTATTTCCATGCATGGGATGCTTTTTGTTGTAAGCACGTCAGTATTTCTGGGGGGGGTGTTCTCAAAATAAAAGCAACTGAAATTGTCAAGGGCTGGGAATACATGGTATTCTGAAAAATCCTGCTATAAATCAAATGTGTTATTACAGAAGTAGTTCCTTTTGTGGTTCTTTAAATCAGTTCCAAATATTCAGGACTCTAGCCACTTTTTTATGATTGGTAGCTCTTTCATATGCTTACCAGATCTTTGAATTCACCAGGCTAATAATGGGATCGCACATTGCACATTTAATCTAGAGGAATCCCAGACCCTTTTACAAACTAAAGCCTTGGGCCTGCAAAAAGTTAGGCTCACGTTTAACTTTAAGCCTGTGAATAGTCCCTTTGAGTTTGGTGGCACTACTCAAAGCACCTGCATACATGTTTGCAGGACTAGAGCATAAAGGTACAATGCAGCATTCCCTATGTGAGTGGCTCTTCCTCATGCAAGTAGGGATGTCCATAGGACTACTCAGTAAGCAGGGGTTTGCAGGACAGGCCTTTAGATTGCACATTAATAGCAGAGATTTGCTCCTATTGACATTAATTGCAATGGGAGCAGAACTGGGCCCCACCTCTGCAGTCCTTATTCTGGCAGACCCCCGCCTCCCATTTATTTCTGTGGGAGTAAGGGTGCAGTAAAAATTACAGGATTTGGCCTTAATACTACATTGTCAGTTTACCATGTGTCAACTGCATGATTTGGCTCTTATATTGTAGGCAGACTCATAGATGGGGGAACTAGGGGTGCTGGGGGTGGTACTGTATTGTACTGCCCCTGTCTTGAAGTGGTTTTCATTATATACTGGGTTTACAGTTTGGTTCAATGGCTCTCAGCAATCCCACTATATAAATTATTCCAGCACCCCTGGGCAGAATTGTACTGTCTGTGGCAAAGGACTACCAATGTAACAGAGTAGAAGTGGGAAGCATTGATAAAAACAAATTCCAAACTATCCCTTTTTTCTTGCAATGCCCAAACTACAGTTCACAAGGTTCACAAAACACATTATTTTGCCCACATTTTCTTTGTTCCACCTCATATGACGGAAATGCATGCATAATTCACAGATGGCAACAGAATCACACGGCACTAGAAATCACCAGGCAGCGTTTGCAAAATTATGATCTTTTAAAAAAAAATATTTCCTTTCATTTACTAGGTCGCTTCAGTGAACATGTTCTACGATGAAAAGATTCCAGCCATTAGTAATGCTCTAGCTATAATCTAAGAATGTCTTCACAGTAACGTCCAGAAAAGAAAGATGGATTCTTTCAATAGCGCTCAAGAGTATCTAGCATGAGAAATTATCCTCTCAGTGTCAGGTCTCATGGACGAAAGGTGTGTAAGCTTTACTAGCATGGGCTTATGGATATATTTGGCATATTCATGTTATTGTTAGCAATGGATGGCTCAGAGCACTAGTAATGGGATACAGAGCCTTTCATGTCTAGGGACTTATCTACACTGCAGGCAGGCTGTGTGTTATCTCCTGCACCTTTGCCCAAACCCCCAAAGCCCTCAGACACTCATTCAGGGGAGTGTGGAGCAGAACACATGTTGACCAGTGACCCATTCTTACCTACTTTCCCACTTTACAGTGTGGTGATAGCAAAGGGGGTACCACCTGGCCTTGAGCCAACATAATCCTACACAGCCATTGCCACAATTCCCTGAACTTGTATCTTCTTGCCCTTCTACCTACTCACTTCTCACTTGCCCTCTGTGCACTGACAGCTACATGGCATTTAACCTGTCTTTTCCCATGCAGTTTAATTCAGTTTCTGCACAGCTCAGTCCAGCTCTGCCAAACAGCAAAAGGCCCACCACAGAGCATGCCGCTAGCTAGATGGAGGAGCACCCTAGGGTTCTAGTTAACTGTTGGTGTGAGTACTCCAAAGATCATGATTTCATCCACAGCTCCAGCAACATCCACCTCTATGAGACCATCTCAAAGAGGCAGGCAGAGCTGGGCACCCACCAGCCTGGTGTGTAAGACTGGGAGTGTATCAAGCACCTTAAGCAGCTGGATTAAAAGCCAAGGAAGGGAGCAGCAGGTTGGACACTGAGCTGACAAGTTACTCTTTCTGTGATAAGCTGGACCCACTTGCCACCACCCTGAGCACAGAGGTCACCATCTTGCATGAGGGAGGTCTTGTTTACAAAGTGAAGGAAGAGGGAATAGCAGTGGAGGAGAGCCCAGTGGAGCCGGTATGAAACTGGAAGTTTAGAGTAAGCCCATGTGGGCAGACAGGCAAATGGCCATACTGAGGCAATTATCTGAGGGCCTGTTTGGGGAAAGATCTGTGAAACAGCCTGGAGAGGGAGTGGTACACAGCCAGGGGTCAGATCTGTGCGTGGTAAGTGCTGCCCACTATCTTTGTTAGTGTTGTAGGAAATTATAGTCTTAAAAAGGAGGGATTTCTTGGTTATGACCAATAAAATTATTGTTATGGAGGATATTGCATGCTAGTAGGTTGTGTTTAGCTTTGATTGAGGGGGTAAACGATGACATTCCCATAACCCCCCTTTCCTCTGTCTGTCCCTGCCTCCAGTCACATGGATGTGTGGTGGCGGGAAAATTACACACATCATTAGTAGCTATTTCAGAGTATTGTTGTAGTAAATGTTAGCAAACTATTTAAAGGACTGCAGGTCTGGCAAACATGAACACATATTTATAAATATATTGCTCTTTAGTAACCCAGTCACACCAATCTGATTATATACGTTTATACCTAGCCTATCAAACCATTGTCCCACATCTTTGTCCTATAGGAGACAGGATAGATTATAAATCCCAGGGGCCACAAGATGTGACAAAGGTTCTTTTATCCTCAGTGTCTGTCTCTCTTGCTCTGTCCATTTGCAGCAACCTGTCCATTACAGGCAGGGGGAGGATGTGAGGATGGGGGAGCCGGGGGAGAACTCTGCTGATGGCAATTCTCAGCAGCCTAACACAGTATGCTGTTAATAATCACCTTAATTTTCTTCCACTCCTGGAAGGTGATGCTTGAAAATGTTTTTTATATAAGGTACTGCAGCTTGTCAGACAGATTCCTTGGCAGGGCAAACTTGCTCTGACTGCCCTGGTATCTCACTCAACTTCTTCACTCAGGATATACTGTTCAATCACCAGCCATCACAAAACCCCCTTGCCATAGATATTTGGGTTTCCTCCACTTGCCTGGAAAAGCATCTCCTTTTTCCCAATCTTGTACTCGGGACAGGGTGATGTCCTGTTCGGCTTTGGTGGAATTCAGCCCAGGTTGGTAGAAAGTGTGACCAAAAATTATCACTTGATTGCTGTTTTGCATCTTCTCTGAAGTGAGCTGGTGAACTCAGTCTATTTCCCTTTGGAGATACCTCCTCACCATAAAAACTACCATCACACATGGCACTAACTGGCTGTTTCAACTAAAATGCTAATGAGTAAATGTGTGTGGACTGACTTTACTTAACTATCCTGTTCAAGTTTGGTAGGATAGAGCGGGGACAGCTGCACTACTGACATGGGGCATGATCTGGCAAGTACTCTGTGTGCAGAGCTGTCACTGACCTCAAGTTAATTTTGGTTTACAGGACTGGGCCCTCACTGTGTGACTTTGGTGTATGTCATTTCTCTTCTCTGGGCCTCAGTTTGCCCCTCCTTAGGTGGGGATAATAATGCACAAGTACTACCCAGGGAAGTTGTGAGTTTAAGTAATTATGTGTAAAAGTGCTTTCAAAGCCTTAGACAAAAGGGGATACAGCAGTACAAAGTGTTAATACCCTGTAATATCATTATGAACATTCCAATCCTTAAACTCTTTCAGTACCAGGTAAATGTTTTCAATCATATGCAAACTTTTCTTAATATACATTTAAAATTTAGGGTTAATGTATGATCACTTCCTCTCTGTACATTCAGTGAAATACATTCAGAAAAACAGGAAAGTCAATGTTTTTATTTATAAGAACACTTCTCTAGGAGGGTATCCCCGTACATGCCTGTTGTTACTTTGCTATGCAGATTATTGAGGCCAAATGAAAATATTTAGGTGAAAGGTAGTTCTAGTGTTCTGCTGATCATTTAACATGATGATTAAACAATTAGATAAGCTATAGAACATACTCTTTTACTTCTGCACTTTACTGACCTTGGCAAGTGACCTTCTTTCAAGTATGCCGTGCAACACTGACAAATCACATGTTCGTAATATACACCTCTCTTTGGCTAGCAGACATTTTAAGAGTGACAATAAAGGTCAACACCTTTGAGAACTAGCTCTTCACTTATTGAATGTGTAAAAGTATACAGCGTGCCGTACATTTGTTAATATCCTTAACAGCAGTAACATGCTAGACTACAATTGGAGGGGCATTTTATGAAGTTTAGGAGATCCAGATGCAGAGTTTAGCAGGCTTCTAAACAAAATGGTTATGAGTCCATAATGTATAATCCTTGGATATCTGACAG